AAACAAACAAACAAACAAACAAACAAACAAACAAACAAACAAACAAACAACCAGCAGTTTCACTGTTGGCCGTCAGGCAGCTGAGCTCAGGAAACAAACATGAAAAGAAGTGTTTTACAGATGTTGAGCTCAGACTGGTAGTAGCTGAGAGTCATCCTTAAACACTCGGAGCTCTACTTCTTCTTCATGTTTTGTTTGTTTAAAACTTTGTCTTAAACCCTGTTGGTTTGGAKTGGAGCTGATGAGAAGATGACCTGTGGACCACCCTGAAGGACTCATCCCAAGAAGTGTGTGTGGGGTCTGGACCTGAAGGAGGCCTTCCTGGACACGTCCACGTTGTCCCTGTGGTTGAAGGACGAGCTGTGGACGATCTGGGAGGTCCTGAGGCGGGGCAGTTTGGGCTTCATCACACTGAAGGAGGACCTCCTCCTGACCCGGGCCTCCGCCTGCAGGGGGTCGTCGCTGAAGAGCCGGGTGGGCTTCAGGTTGGACTGGAGGACCCTGGAGAACCTCCAGCGGCCCTCCTGGCCCCTGCGGTCGTGGTCCTCGGGCGGCTCGTGAGCCCCTGCGATGTCCCGGATGTCCACGCTGGCGCTGTGGGCCAGGTACTGGCAGGCCCTCCTGCCGCTGTGGTCCCTCAGCTCCACGTCGGCGCTGAAGGCCCCCACCAGGAGCTTGACCACCTCCACGTGTCCGTGCATGGCGGCCACGTGCAGTGGCGTGTAGCCCATGCTGGACCGCGCGTCCACGCCCGCGGGGACCCCGTGCTCCTCGGCGAAGTCCAGGATGCGGGCCAGCAGCTCGGGCTTGCCCTGCTTGGCGGCCCAGTGCAGGCAGGTGAACCCGGTCACGAAGTCCCTCTTCTGGACGAGGCCCGGCTCGGCGACGAGGAGGCGGTGCAGGTCGGCCCACTCGCCGTCCGAGGCGCTCATCATCCACTCGTGCTCYGCGGGGTCAAGGGTCACGGGGGTCCTGTCATCCAGGGAGCCCAGGGAGTCGCTGCTGGGCCTGGAGGCCAGGTGGACGCTGCGCCTCACCTCCGGGGAGCTGCTCATCATGGCCCGGATGAAGCGGCGGCGGCTGGGGGTCGGCGTGACGCTGCCCTCGCTCTCAGACACACTCAGGTGACTCGGCCCGGGGCTGCCAGGTGTCCCAGCACACCTCTGAGTGGGACTGAGTCCAGGGGTCTCAGGGGTCTCAGGTGTCTCAGGCCCGGGCAGGTCTGAGGCTGCTTCCTGTTCAGGGCGAGGCAGGGCTTCACACACCGTGATCCTGGGCAGGTCTGCTTCTACCTGCTGCTCCTTCCTCGTCACGCTCCCCACGTTCCCCATCCCGCACGAGTCGCAGAACACCTCCTCCTCCTCGTCGTCTTCCTCCGCGAGACAAACGGACTCCAGCCGCGCTCGGTTCCGCTCGGTTTGACCGGTCAGAAAGCTGTCAGCTGCGAAGAAACGCGGAACTCGCTCCCTGTCACTTCCGGAACCTGAGCCAGGTGGAGCTGCGTCATCACCGGGGCTCACCTGTGGGCTGGGATCCGCCTCYGGAGCGAGGCTGGCCGGGCTGTCTGCCCCGCTGCCGCCGCGGAGCTTCTCCTTCACACACAGGTGCGTGTCTCCTGTCTCTGTCCTCACCACGGACACGCCGTCCACGGAGCTTTTAAAGGCCCGCCGAGCGGCCGCCTTCTCCCGCGGCTCCTCCGCGGACAGAGCGGCTCCAAAGTGCTGCAGGAACTCCGCTTTGCCTCCCCGCTCCTTCAGGAAGCCCAGGACGGACTCCCGGGTCAGCTCACCGGCCATGGTCCGGTCGTCACATCGTGTTCAAAACACGACAGACGGCAGAGATTAATCCACAGCAGACAGATTAACTAGTCTGCAGCGGAGGACGTGGCKCTACCTTTTAGGGGGCGGAGTGATACATGTGTGCGCTCAAACAAGTGGCTTTACTCGGTAAACAGCATAATTTAGTTGATTTATAAATTATAATTTGYAATTTAATATGATTTATTTAAAAATTTGACACAAACTGTGGAGTTTTTTAATTATTTAGTATAATATGTTTTTTTTATATGCTCAGGAAGGCCAGCTCTGTGCTGGGATGCCCCTTTGACCCTGTGCAGGTGGTGGGAGACAGAAGAACTCTGACTTAAATAACATCATTGATGAACAACGTCTCCACCACATGCATGAAGCTGTGGCTGAACTGCAGAGCTCCTTCAGAGACAGACTGCTGCATCCGAGGTGCACAAAGGAGCGTTATCACAGATCCTTCCTCCCAGCAGCTGTCAGACTCTATAACCAGCACCAGGCCCAAAAATCACAATAAGTGTTTACAAAATCACAATAAGTGTTTACAAAATCACAATAAGTGTTTACAAAAATCACAATAAGTGTTTAAAAAATCACAATAAGTGTTTACAAAAACCACAATAAATGTTTACAAAAATCACAATAAGTGTTTACAAAAATCACAATAAGTGTTTACACACCTGCTGCAGCACAATCATCTGTACTGTTAATAGTCATTGTAATTATTCATCTGAACAATCATTTGCACTACTGCTCTGCTGTAATTGCACATKTGTGTTTCTGCTCTGCATTGTGATACTTCTCTTTAGTTATTGGTCTGTTGAGATTGTTTTGCACTGAAAACAGGCAATTTCTGGTTCCTAATGTCCAATTCTGAAACGAAACATCGTTTGTATTCTTGCAAAATTCTTTATATTATATTTTAATATCATGGCTAGTCAGTGTTAATTTTGTTTTGTAAGTATATCTATAGATGGAAAAGTAATTTGTGAACCTCTATACTGATGCTGATGTGACACCGGAATTTCCCCTCTGTTGGACAATAAAGACTATTTTTATTCTATTTTAATGGTGATCAACTGGTGTCCTGCGGGACATTTCCAGGTCAGAGGAGGAACCTCCTCCGGTCCTCTGGGAACAAGATAATGACCATTCAATTCACTATATTTTAATAATGTGACCCATCACATCGAAACTAGGATTAAGTACAAAAGTGGTGTATGGAAAAATAGGCAAATATAGTGTTTTGACTAAATTGTTAACAAAAATTGCATTTTGTCAAAATATAATGAATAAATGACTTGTAAATGTATTTTTTGAATGAACTGTCTGAAATATAATCATAAAACAAAATTTTGAAGCACTTTTCTTGAGCAGTACCAACAAAAAACCTGATTTTGAGGAAAAACGCCTTAAAATTTTTGAGATTTTCCCTGTGAGCTAGTATTGTTTCTTTTTAGCCGCGAAATCTCAATATTCAAATATAATTTGAGGTTTCCTCTTTATAAGG